GTCAAGTAATGATCTAAATTGAATCATCCCTCCCCCCCAACCAAACCCTAAAAGGCTGAATGAAGTCATGACATAAGTAGAATGATCCCTCCCCCCCAACCAAACCCTAAATGGCTGAGTCAAGTAATGATGTAAGTAGAATGACCCCTCCCCCCCCAACCAAACCCTAAATGGCTCAATCAAGCAATGCTGTAAGTAGAATGACCCCTCCACCCCAAACAAACCCTAAGTGGCTGAGTCAGGTAATGATGTAAGTAGAATGACCCCCCCCGAACCAAACCCTAAATGGCTGAGTCAAGTAGTGGTGTAAGTAGAATGACCCCCCCCCGAACCAAAACCTAAATGGCTGAGTCAAGTAATGATGATAAGAACGATGTTTGCCGTGTTGCCCAAAGTGATGAAATCCGTGTTGCCCAAAGTGAGCGTCCAAAGTGAGAGGAGTGTGTGATTTCTGGATGTTGCCTGAAGTGATGCGTTTGGTGTTGCCCTAAGTGATGCGGGTGCCCAATGTCTTGTTGGTGAATGTTTTGGCGCGAAATCCATGTAAATCCACTATATCATTTGTGAATGGTAGGTTCGAGATGGGTTGAGGTTTAGCCCACTTCGGCAGAATCAGATGCCAACATCGGCGAAGTAAATCTTCTTGTGCGTAGGGTATCCAGCATAAGCCATCAATCAGCACGGCAAAGAATGAATGGTTGTCCTCTTTTTAGACATACCCAAGTCAAATGAATGTTTCCTAAGTCATGGGGGTACCCCCATAATCATCCATTTAAGAATCGGTTTTTCAATTGTAAACCATCCAGCTATTGGGGATCCCCCCATTTGTGGAACCCCTACCCTCTGGTAAAATTGGTAAACTAACATAGCGAACTGGAAAAAGACCATCAAAATAATAGCTAAATCAACGAACTAGCCATGTGCCATGGCTCGAATAGCAAACTGTTAGTCATTACCAGAGGGTAAATCCCATTAATATCCCATTGAATCGCTATCAAATCCCATTAAATCACTATAAAATCCCATTAAATCATTATAAAATCCCATTAAATCCCAATAAAATCCCATTAAATCACTATAAAATCCCATGAAAAATCCCTTTGTAGAACGATCAGCTTTTGAATCTCCAGGAGTGTCCGCACCCAGCTTGACCTTCCTGGACCTCTCGAGTAATGGACTCACCGAGATCTCCGGGCTCTGCGACCTGCTGGATGCATGCCCCAAATTGCAGGACTGGTCATCTGACCAAAAAAAATATATGGAAAAACATGGGATATTCATTGGAGACTATGTCATGGGATATATACATATTATATACATATGTATATATATATATATTATTATCTACATTAATGGGGATATGATATAAGATGATACAACTGGATATTCATGGGATATGGAATGATCCTGGGAAAAAAAACTGCATCCTTCTGGATCCATAAATCTGGCGAAATCTCATCCCATGGCGCCATGGTCAAGAGATGGTTATGACATTCACAGTTTTGCATGGAAAGATCCACCATTTTTAAGTTCGGTAGACCGGTAAACCATCTATTTCGATTAGGGCCATGGCTTCCATGGCTATGTTAAATAACCAGAGTAATCCTATCATGGGTAGGTAAATTATAATGACCTCACTGCGACCTCACTGGGAATAGTGGTTAGTAAGGGAAATGACCCTAGATGGCCGCAAGATTCAGGTTAGTGAAATATTATAATTTACCCAGCATCATGGGTAGGTAAATCTTATACCCTCTGGTAAACCTACAAAAAGCTATGGAAAATCACCATGCTATTTAGCTGGGTAAATCAACGAACTTTCGACTGGGCCATTTTCCAGTTCGCAAACTCTTTTTTATTACCGGAGGGTATATCCTTGCAATTCCATATGAACATGATATGATTGCAAGGATATACCCTATGAAATCCCTATGAATCCCTATGAATCCTTGTATGGGTATGGCTGATATGGAAATGATTTTTGGGATTCAGAAAGGGATTTTTCCATATCCACGATGGATAATGAGTAGCTCATCAATCCAATATGTGTTTCCATCTGGATGATCTAAATGTGGATACAATCCGCTTGGTAAATGTGGGATTCAAAAATTAGATACCCTTTAGTAAATTAACAGTTGGACCCTGGCAGTCATCGGGGTTGGAAGATGAGTTGAAAAACTAAACAATGACTAAAAAAAATCAGTGTCTAACTCTTAATTTACCAGAGGGTACTTCATATTAGTATTTTTAGTATTAATGGCAATTCCATACGTTAAAATATACAAATAATTCCATATATGGTCTATTTTAATATTTGCCATATTCTAAAATCCATATGTTCTTTAAAATCCATGGGAAAAAATCCAGGGATTCCCTGGAGGGTGCAGTTCCACTCAAGATTAGTGTGGCTTAGAGTTCACCAAGTGCCGTTGTAGCGATCCCAACTGGCCGCCAGAGGCAACAGAAATCCCATAGGTTTCAGTAGAAATTCACCAGTTACCCTTTGGTAAACGTCTGGAACATCACCATTTTTAATGGGAAAATCCACTATTTCTATGGCCATTTTCAATAGCTACGTTAAATTACCAGAGGGTATGGTTATGGCTATTGGCTCACCAGTTATGGGATAGAAAACACTGGGAATTGAATTCACCAGAAATTATGGCACTGCCCCGGACCTGGGTGAAATTCACCCCTCTGCAGATCACAGGAGCTTCGCCTGCGTCAGTGCAGCCTGAGTTCCATCGACATTTTGACGGCTCTGCGAAAGAGTCACCGCCTGCAGACATTGGATTTGGAGGTGGGGATGAGGAGATATGAATAGCGATTTTTCATAGGATTTTAGAGTGATTTAATGGGAGTTTATAGAAAATTCAATGGTGTTTTACAGGGATTTGATTGGATTTTATGGGGATTTTACAGGGATTTAGCGGGATTTTATAGTGATTTAACCGTATTTTATAGTGACTTAGCTGTATTTTATAGTGATTTAATTGGATTTTATCGTGATTTATAATGGGTCTGATATGATTGTAATGGGATTATAACGGAAAATGATTCATGGAGAATTCATATAATTCTAATGGAGAATAATTAATAGATGATGAACGGAGTATTGTAATTCAGCCAGATACATGGATTTTCATATTATATTTTATAATGGTATATTTATATTAACATGCATGTATAACATCAACATATATATATATTGCACATATATATATACATATTCGATTAAACTCTATGTGCACATGTATATGCTGCATGCGTATATATATATATATTACAAACATGTTTTATTTCGCGTATATCTTATGATTCACAAAAACACGTTTTGGACCCAACAATTGTCCTATGTTTCATTTTCTATCCAGGATAGAGCAAACAAACAACATCTTTTTAGGACATTTTGAAAACCACCTTTTTATCATATGATTGATTTAATCGGATTTACAAAGTTCTTATCATCAGATTCAAATCATTATAGTCACATGTATGATCAAGTCACAAACAAAATCCCATATTTTATTTCGTGAAAACAAAAACATGAATGGATAGTAACTTAATGTAACTTATGGAATATAGCCACATCATTTATACTAATGGATTAGCCATATCATTTGTTATTCAAATAGCCACATCCCTATAAACAATCCCTATAAAATCCCATTAAATCACTATAAAAATCCCATTAAATCACTATAAATTCCTATAATTTAGTCTTTGAGACGCCCATTTTTTTTCGCAGGAAAATCGCCTCAGTTCCCTCCCTGCAGAGCTGCTGCGAGCGCTGCCCAGCTTGAAGACCCTGCTGCTGGCGAACAACGACCTGAGGTGCCGGGGTGTCACGGCCGCTTTTTGGGTGGCTTTAATAGTATTTGAATGGGATCTATAGTGTTTTGATGGGATCTATAGTGATTGAATGGGATCTATAGTGATTTAATGCGATTTTATAGTGATTGAATGAGATCAAATTGAAAATGACCATAGAAAGTTCGTTGATTTACCCATTTATAGCTTGGTGATTTTCCATCGTTATGTAAGTTTACCATAGGGTACAGAAAAACAGAACTCGATTTGGGGATGTGAGATGATTGTAGATGATTTGATCCTAATCAATCCACACTGCATTTTGTTTGGTCAAGTTTATATAAACGTTTCAATTGGGCCAAGTATAGGTTTTGGATCAGATCATCGTGCATGTCACCAATATCCAAGGCTTAGTGGGGCCAATCAGACTTCTTTTGCGGACTACCTTGACTAGCCGCATGGATGGTTTCAATTTGGCCCCTATCAAACTTGCGATACTGGTTTCAATCCGTTTTAAAAGGCACTACAATGTGCCACATTGTTTTCTGTTCAATATTTTGAACACATTGTCCTGATCATTGTTATTATATATTGTGCTATACCGCTCCCATTACATAGCTGTTGCTTTTCAGATGCAGACGATCCAAACCCGTCAATTCTTGTCCTGTTGCTTATTGCCTTGCTTATTGTCATGTTTCCATGGCTGATCAATTCCCAATGTCAAAATCGCTCCGTTGTCCCAGGTCGAGCTTGCCCTCAGAATTTGGCCATTGGGAAAGTTTGCAGGTGCGGCCATGGTCGTCAACTAGCCATGGGTTTTTTTCCGGCATGGATCTCTTGGGACGCACGAACTGGGGTGCATCCCAGTTCGTAAATGGCTAATGGTTAAACCCAGTTATGGGATGGGTTATGCATGGCTAATGCCAACATGATAGATTATCTTCTCATCCACTGGGATATCCTAAGTGAGAATGGCCGCAACGAAATTCATGGCTGCTCCTTATAGTGATAGCATGGGAAAATCGCATGGCCATATTCATTGGATTGGTTTTTCAGGGAACATGTACAGGACACCCCCATGTTATCAATGCTGAATGGTAAAAACATGTAAAAACCACAGAATTTCGATAAATTTCCTGTAGATTTTCCCTTGAACCAATCCATTCTGAACATGTCGAGCCACCCAGCCTGGAGTATCCCTTTTTGGCCTCTACCAGAGGCACCTCAGAAATGGCCGTGGCAATATGACGAGAAAAACCAGTGGATTTAGCCTCTGGTAAACGTTTACATAACGAACTGGAAAATCACCAAGCTATTAATGGGAAAATCCACTATAAATAGTTTCAATAGCTACGTTAAATTACCAGTGGATTTAGCAGTATGGGCTTTTAGAATGATTTCATAGGGATTCTACAGGGATTTGATGAAATATTCATGGAATAAATGGAGGTTTCATGGGATATGATCAGAACATATTCGAAACATATCCTTTAAAATCTGTAAACTAATAAACTAACAAAAGAATGTGGAAAACCCACCATTTCTAGATCATTTGCCGAAAGGGAAACCAATGGTTTTCCACATCTATGTTAGTTTACCCCATGGTAACTTTTGGAGCTGTTTGTTTGGCATTTCGGTGCTTTATGTCTGTAGATGTTCAAAAAGATTTCCACATTTCCATGTCGACAATTCAAAGGGAACATTTTTTGGTGTTTCGGACAGCGAAACGTCTGATGAAATCAGTATAAACTCATTCCAAACGTTCCCATTCCCCCGGTCCGCCAGGTGGTGACCCTCACGGGGAACCCCTTGAAGGCGCTCCGCCAATCCCTCCTGGCCAAGGGCTGGGCCGCGGTGGCCATGCACCTGCGGAACTTCGGAAATGTCGAGGTGTCACGGTGTCGAGCCATTGGGATCTAAGGTGGAAGACCCATAAAACCATCAACATTGGGGTGGATCTGAGGATTTATTGGTGATGATATAAACCAACAAATATGGTGGTTTTACCAATACAATGTGGCGCCCCCGGTCGATAGCTAAGTTGGTTCATAACTCAAAAAAAACTAGGAGTGGTAGATATATCGAACTAGTTAATGGGACTATAAACCAACTTATAAAGAATATTGGGTATACCAATGGCCAAGAATAGCCAACAATGGCTCGATTTTTGGAAAATAATATATTGAGAATAGCCAACAATAGCCATTATTTTTTAATGGGATTCTTGGAAAATACCAATGGCCAAGAATAGCCAATATTAAAAAGACCTCTCAGTTCCAAAGGCTAAATGGCTCGATTTTTCCATTGGTATATTTACCAATATTGGAATATTGGAGATTTTTGTTGGGTATAACCATTTTTGTATATCTGGTTGGTGGTTTCAAACATGAATTTTATTTTTCCTAAGAGTTGGGATGGTGATCCAATCTACCAACGATATGACCACTGGATTGGTTAATGGTTAATTGGGATGGTTGAACCAATATTGAAGTATTATTGGGATGATTCCCAAGAATTCATAGTGGGTATATAATGGTTAATATAACCCATGACATATTATTGGTTGAGGGTTATCGTTTTTATTCACATCCCAATGATATGATCAATAGGATATTCCGAAGTTGTGGGAATAATACGGTAATAAAGGATATACCAATATTGGAGACTATTTCCCATAAGGTCTATGGGTTGTGGGAATAATATGATCAATAGGATATGCCAATGGGAACTAGTCGAAATATTATCCTAGAATATACAATAATAATGTGATTGGTATGATTCAAGATCTTCCAGAATAGAATGGGATATGATCAATTGATATGATAATGAGATAGTATATGATCAATAGGATATGATCATATACCCAATGGGATATGACCAATGGCATATGATCAAGAGGATATTCATTGGATTTGTTGGAGGGAAAATCTACAGGAAACCATGGGTTTTCCCCATCAAATATAGGGATTAATGTGGTTAAAACAATGTCATAAACCACCCATGACTGGGAATGATAACCATAGCACATGTATTTATGGTGTTTGGGGAATGATTTATATATGATTGTTTTAGCCACAATAACATTATCAGTATAGGATATGCATAATGGGAACTATTCTGAAAAAACATATCAATAGGACATTATAGCCTATAGGAAAATTAAATCATATTCAGCGAATTCTACAATCATAGGGCTATAAAGTGGGGCCCCCTAGATAGCTAAGTTGGTGAACATAACCCCAATAACTACGGTTTATGGTACTTATAACGAACTAGTTACTGGGGCGAATTTGTTAACCAACTAACATCACTAGGGCTATGGATCAATAGCTACATGTTTGCCATCTTTTTTTAGGGAGATGAACGATGTTCGCCGTTTGGGTACCTGGACCCAATATTCGAAAAAACATGATACTATTGAATGCCATAATTAATTGGATATCTAATGGGTATACTATGGTATACAAAAAAATATGACTTAACTATGAAATCATTGAGATAAATTAGCTAAAATCATGGGATGTATCACCAAGTAGGACATGTATAAAATAGAATGAAATGGGGCTTTTGTGGCAGTGCATGGCTGGAACGTTTCCTCAGCTCGCAGAACCAATGTCACATTCCTAGTTCCTTGATGGGTCTTTTGTTGTCAAGGTGTGGTGATCAACCGCAGAATTCTTAGATTTTCTCATCATGGGGAAACTAGATGAAATTATCATCCGTTTGGTCAGATGATTTTCCTCTAATTCCTGCAACTTCAAGACTTTGAGTTGCCAGGAATTGTGAGAAGGTACCAGCTACTGATGGTTGCGAAATCCGAAAAGCAGGTGGATTACTGTAGTTCCATGCCCAGCAATGGACAATTTCCCCAATTTCCCCATCTATAGCCGATTTTTCCATATTATTCCATTCAAACCTCCATTTATAAGAGGGCTTTTAGCAATGCACATGTTATTTTGAAGCGCCAAAGGTTTCAGTCCGCCCTGGTCCAAAAACCCTTGAGGTCCCACCACCGGCTCCAGACAGTGCGGTTGAAAGGCAGCCCAGGTGTAGAGAATGGGCGATGGAGATTGTTGGGTCAACCGACTGGTTAGATACTTTAGTACTTCAATCTGTTGCTATCAATGGTCAAATGATGTAAAATTATGTAAAACACATTACAAAACAAACTAAAAATATCGTTGCCAGCTAAAGATCAGACGGTTTGGCAGGTATCTAAGGTTCACCAAGCAACCATCAAACACGTGGAACATGCTGATGATTCATAAACACACGGGATGATAAGGGGGAGTTAACCATCAAAGTTTTTGGGGTAGAATATCATGTTGTAGGTATATTTCATATACCATCTGGTAAACTAACATAGCTATGGAAAATCACCATTTTTAATGGGAAAATCCATGAAAATCCACTATAAATGGTCATTTTCAATAGCTATGTTAAATTACCTGGGACTTACTGGGGCAATGTATGGGATTCATGACGTGTACAGCGTGTGCCAGGCCTTTATCGACAGGTCAAGCGGCTCACGCACCAAGAGCGGCGCACGTGGCGTCGCAGGTGGAGAAACTCCACGAAGGCGGGACCATTTTTTTCAGGTAGAACACATGCCATGCAGTTCGATGGCTTGATGGAATGGAATGGTGATGTTCTAGAACTATTTGAAAGTACATATGGTTTTTTCGGATGTATTAGGATATACCCTCTGGTAATGACTGACATAGCTATTGAAAATGACCATAGAAATAGTGGATTTTCCCATGAAAAATGGTGATTTTCCATGGCTATGTTAAATTACCAGAGGGTAGGATGTATTAGGATATACCTTCTCTACAAATAACAGCGACAAACCCTGCCATGAGTTGGAGATTGGAAGACTTTCCAAAATTTTGAGATGGGCAAGGTTCACATTCTATCTTGCTTTGAGGGATTAACTCGGATTAACTAACCATCAACTAAAGTCCGGTGTTTTTGGGGGATTCCGGGGATTCCCGAATTTGGTTTTGCACTTCAAGGATTTGAAA